TACATGGTGTGTACATGAGGATATGCACAAGTGTGTGAATACGGGCATGTTTGTGAATACATTGGTGTGTGCCTGTGTGAACAACAGTGTATGAATGTGTGCAAGTACACATGTGTAAGAGGTACAGTCTCAACACATTTTCATCCCCTCTGAGAGCTGTAAGTCACTGGACACTTGAGGGTACTGCAGTAATGTCAGTGTTCTGCATCTGTGAACTTCAGAAGCCACATCTCTAGGGTTCTGTACACTCAGATCTCTTTAAAGAACTCAGGGACTCTGACCTCTGACCTGAGAGGATCAACACGAGATTTCTGATCACAATTCCAAAGACCCATCTATTGTACCAAATGCTCCATGATCTACTCACTTTGGACATGGGTCCAAGTCCACTGGTTGCCTCCCCTTCCTGATGTTAAAAAGAGCAGAGAGGACCTGGTTCCTGGGCCTGCTCCCTGAACGGGGTTTCTTGGCCTGAGAGCATCCTTCATAACAGCTCAAATGGAAGTTACTGAAAGAGGAAACAGTGTTTCCATGGGGCAGCTCTGGGCAGGGAGGCTCCAGCACATCCTTTTCTCACAGCATTGTCTAAGGCATTGGTCCTAAACCTGTGGGTCGTGACCTCATCGACAAATGTCTATCTCCAAAAACATTCACATTATGGTTCATACCAGTGGCAAAATTACAGTTCTGAAGTAGCATCGACATGATTTGGTGGTTGGGGTCAGCACAGCATGAGGAACTGAATTAAAGTGTCCAGCATCAGGGAGGTTGAGAACCACTGCTCTAAGGGCTATTGATGGTATCCAGCTGGGGCCAGGATGGTGCCAGGATGGCAGAAGGTTGGCTTCTGAGAAATTTTTCATCTCCTTTCCTTTTCCCAGCCCAAGGCAACTGGCTAGCACCACCCAGTGGCCCACTTCTGCTGCATGGTGTAATCCTAAGGCCCGGACCTCTGGTTTGTCCCATTCCAAATTCCTCATTCTTGGGAAACACTGGAGAAAGGATGGCTCCCTTTTCGGAGCCCTCACACTCAGCTGTGGACATCCAAGAGCAGTGGGATAGTTTGCTTGTCTATTGCTGTGACAAAACACTGGCCAAAAACAACTTGGGAGGGAAGGGTTTATTTGGCTTTTACATTCCTATAATGGTCCATTATGAAAGGAAGTCAGGACAGGAACTCACACAGGGCAGGAACCTGGAGGCAGGAGCTGATGGAGAGGCCATGGAGGGGTGCTACTTACTGGCTTGCTCATCCTGGTTTGCCCAGCCTGCTTCCTTATACCTCAGGACCACCTGCCCAGGTATGGCAGCACCCACACTGAGCTGTGTCCCCCAACACCAATCACCAATCAAGAAATGCCCCACAAGCTCGCCCACAGGCCATCTGATAAGACATCTTGTCAGTTGACCTTCTTCTGTCAAAATGATCCTAGCCTTTGTCCAATTGACCAAACACAGCACAGATGTCTTTGCCTGTCACAGGCTTGGCGTCTGCTCTGTCTCTCATAAATCTTTCCTGCCCCACACTATGCCTTAGCTGACCGTGTGGCTCTTGCACACTTCAGATTATGTCAGCCCCTGCCTTCCCCAGAGGGCCACCACTAGGCTCCTCCTGGCTCTGGAGCAATAGTGATAATAAATTTCTTTGGTGGTGGAAATTTCAAGACAAGATAACACTCAGGCTATGGCACAGCTGTGGCTTGATGCTTTTACCCAAATTTAGGGTGCGAATCCAGAGCAAAAAGCAAAGCAAAGTGATAAGGACCAAGTGATGTTTGGCAAAGAAAGGAATGCAGTAATATTGAAAGTTGTACACTAAGCAAGGTTGGAGGAAGCATCCCATTGTCAAGGAGTTTAGTTCCATTCAAAAATGCCCTCACCCTCTGCACTGTACCAGGAGAGAAGGTGACTGAAGGGCAGGATCCCACCCTCCAAATACTCCTGAGTGTACTGTGGCAAACTCACCTGAGAGATTTTCATTAGAAAGAAGAGTCACTGCAAAGGCAGTCATTGACAGGAGAGAGTCCCCAGGCCCTCCTGCCCCACAGAGCCATGCAAGAAACCCCCAGGTTCAGCTGTGAGGCACCTGGGGGTCATGGTAGCAGTGGTCCCAGAGATCATGGCTACCTATCAGTCTGGTGGCAGATCAATTCCCTTGGTCACTGCTTTTATAAAATGCAGCATATAATTGTCATGAGACCATGGAGGCTTGCTCCAAGTGAGGCTAGGCACATGTCTCTGAAGAGAGGCCCCAAGAGACTAATCAGTGAACTGGTAAGAGAGAAATGTAAGCTGCAATGGAGACCATCAATGTTGGAGATGTTAGGGATGTGCAATGTCTGGCAAGCAGTGCTGCAGGCAGTGAGTGGAGCTGGCCAAGAGAGAGCCTATGTGTGCTTTAACTATGTAGGGTAGGGCTGTCCTATCCTCTTAGACCCCCTGTGATGACACTGTGTGCCCTTGGTGCCAGGCCTAGAGTTATTGGATTTAATGCGATCTACACTAGTTTCAGAGGTTTTTTTTGGGTCCAATTTGTATTCACTATATCCCTTTGCCCATTTTAGAATGGAAGTGTGGAGGCTGTGGTGTTGTATTTTGGAAGTATGTAATGCTTTTTAAATTTTCAGAGGCTCACAACAAGGACCTTAAGTCTCAGTAGACACTTTTGTTTTTTTAGACAGTGTTGGGACCTCTAAGACTCTGGGGTCATTTGGAGAATGCATTTTGCATCATGTGGTGGCCATGGGCCTACAGAAGGCCAGATGTGGGAGGCAGGGCTTGAGCTTGAAATGTCTCTCACTGAGCTCATGTTTGAACACTTGGTCCCAGCAAGGCATCATAGTTTTTGATGGGGCAGTGAGAGGGAACAGAGCCTTTGGGATATGTTGCCTAGCTAGCAGAAGCAGGTGCAGCCTTTAAAGTTAAACCATTTCTAATTCTGTCCTGAGCTCTCTGATCAGCACATGAGGAGCTCTGCCTGCATTCCCACGGCCATCAAACCATGCTGCCAATCATGGCTTCAAGGAAACCAAGAACCATAATGAGCCATCCCTCTCTTAAGCTGTGGGTCCTTTTGTTACAGCAGGAGATAAATAACTAACACATACATCATAGCATTACTGTGTTGTTGAGTGTGTCTGTGTTTTGTTATCTTCCTTAGAAAAGTGTAGATCTGTGCTCAGTCAGCTGTCCTTTGGATGAACTCTGTCCCCTCGCCTCTACGATTTCAGAATGTGACTATATGGAGAGAGATGGAATATAATGGGGGCTGCCAAAGGTAATGTTGCGTCTGTTATAATCCACAGAGGGGCAGCCTTGTGAAACACAGGAAGATGCTGCCTTCTTCCTGTTGAGGAGGGCCTCACAAGGAACTGGCCCTGGGGACACCTTCATCTTGTGCTTCCAACCTCCAGAAGTCTGAGGACACATGAGCGCTGTCAAAGCCTGGGCCTGTGGTCTTTTGTCCTGGCAACTTGCAGAAGAGCTTGATTCTTTCAAGACCTGTTTGAAGTTCTGCTAGAATGGGCCCGGAGCACCCCACTCTGGAATCCGTCAGTCAGTTCCTATGCTGTGCCTCTGTGTCTCTAACCCATCCTTGGGTGGATCATCGAATTCTTCCTCAGGCAGGGTAGAGTCCATGTGATTCTAGACTGTAAGAACCACAGCACAGCCCCATGGCCACCCTTCATTCCTCAATATCCCATGTGTCTGGCCTTCGGGTCAAGGCAGTTAAGGATTTGACCAAGAACTCAGGTGACTCCCATTCACGTTTTGGGGTTACATTTTCTCCCTTCTCCTACCTAGCTACACTGGTTCTGTCCTGAGCGTGATAGCTCCTAATTCTGACATCTCTGCAACTGACCTAAAGAATTGTACCAAGTTTGGTCTCCCCATCTCCAGGAAGAAAACGGGGCATTGGAGGATTTGCCTGGTTGCTCCTCTCTCTTGCGTCCCTGTCATTTGACTGTGTTTTAGAATCCAGTCCTAGAGAGGTTGTGGGCAGAAGGAGATGCCTGGCTAGTACCCAAGGAGCTCTCAATTGTTAATATTCCTGAATGGATATACACCATCACCCTCAAGGTGCATGGGTGGTCGGGGTTGAAGGTGGAAAGAAGGTGAAGAGCAGATGTGAGAAGAACCACATCCCTGCAGAGTCATGCATTCCTTAAGAGGATGCATGGAGGTTTGCACAACCACGTTCTAGAGTGTCTGTGAACCTCAAGGGAGGAGGCAGCCAGGTGTCCCTGGTATTGTAATAGGGTGATGTGAGCCCTGTGGAAGCCAGGCTGGAGGAGAAGGGTGCGGTCAGAGGGAGAGCTGAGCAGCTATGGATTAGAAGGTTAGGCTTTAGGAAGCAGCTGCTATGGCAGCCATAAAGAAAGAGTTGGAAGTGAGAACATCCATACCAGAAGACACCTATGATTTGTCCTTGTAGAGTCCAGGTTCTAAGTGAGAGAGGAAGGGGAAGCCCTAGAGTCCAAGAGAAGATACAGAAGATACAGAGATGGGCAGCCATAAGTCTGGATGTGATATGCAGTACTGAAGCCATTGGAGATGGTACCAGGCTTTGGATCAATGATCTTCAGAATGAGTCCATGATGCAGGAGCCAGGGCAGGGAACCCCAAGTGGGGCAGGTGCAATAGATGTGGTACAGCTCAGAGTCTGCATCCCACAGTACCTACCAGCTTTTGCACATGTAGAACCTGCATCCTTGTGCTCATCCTGAGCGTCTGTGGTGGGACCACGGTCTGGTTCTACAGATATGGCTGTCTATTGTCATGCCCTCAGCTCCTCATCAACACTGATGCAATGGTTATCTGTAGGGCACAGGCTTCAACAGGGGACTGGGGAGGTGTTCAAGGGGAGCAACAGAGATGGGTGAGTGTCCCTTTAGGGGACAGGTGACATCAGATGAATCTCTGCCAGGGCAGAGTGGGTTAGGATGTGAACCAGAGAGGGAGGAAGGAATGGGAATGTTTGAGATAATGGGTGATGGATCAGCTCATAATTTGATGATTGTCCGAGTTTGCTGCGGAAAGAAGCTTGGACAGCAAAGGGATTATTTGGCCTCCACAGCTCTATCACAGTCGGTCATTGAGGGAAGTCAGGGCAGGAGCTCAAGGCAGGAAACCGGAGGCCGGAACTAAAGCAGAGGCCATGTAGAAATGCTGCTTGCTGGCTTCCTCCCCATGGCTTGCTCAGCCTGCTTTCTTATAGAAGCAGGACCTTGTTTTCCTCTTGCCAGATGACCCTGGCTTGTGTCAAGTTGACAACAAAACAAAACAACCAACACCTAACAAGGGTGTGACATCATGGTGAGGTGTGCTGCAGGGAAATGGACTCCTGCTGGATTTTCAGGACTCAGGGGGAAGAACCAGGAGAGGCACTGAGGATTCAGGTCTGCTCATAAAGCCTGGGATAAGGCCAAGGCTTTCAGATTCTGAATCCTGGTCACTGGCTCTGTAGCCTGTCACCCACAGCTAGGCACATCCCTTCTGCCCCAAGGAACACACAGTTCCTCTCTCCTCTTCTACTCTGTGTGTGTGTGTGTGTGTGTGTGTGTGTGTGTGTGTGTGTGTGTGTGTGTGTGTGTATGTGTGTGTGTGTGTGTACATTCACAAGTGTGTGGAGGCTGGAGTTTGAAATGAGATGTCTCCCTTAGCCTCTCTCCACCAGGTCCCTCTTTGAAATTTGAGTTCACTGATTGGGTGAGGTAGCTGGACAATTTGCTCCAGGGGTCTGTATAGGTCAGCCCGAACCCAATCCCAACAGGAAGGTTATAGACATGTCCCACCACACCTGCCGTATTGTGGGAGTCCAGGGGTTCAGAACTCTGACACTCAGGCGTGGGAAGCAGGTGTTTTACGGACTGAGCGACACCCGGGTGGTTTGTTGTGTGACC